AAACAACTTAACCACTCCACCACAGAAACACAGAGACCTCCACCCACTCAAAGAAAAGTTTACAGCTTCTATCAGTGGTCAGTTCTCCCTGTTTTTTGTTTGTTTGTTTGTTAACGCCGAACGTTGAGCTACGATGCCTTTTGGCAGGGCAGACTAGACCCTTGGTTGGCAACTGACGTGAAGGAAGGTTCGAACAAGAGAAGGCAGAGCGTTGCTATTTTGATTCGGCAACTTTTGCTGCGCGCATTGTTCCAAACTTATTCTTATTACCTTTCGTTTGGAGTAAACAGGGCAGATCGAGGAATGATTTATGTGCATGAGTCAAACAAGGTCGCTACAATGCTGCCCAAGGGTTGTGCTATGGAGAGTAGGAACTTTATTTTCCTGCCTCTCCAAAGCACAATTTAACATTATGGGCTAGAATGATTGAAAGGTGTCAACAACAACTGCTCATATTGTGACCTGTAGGACAGGAGATTGATGAGTCTGAGGACCTAGGACCGCATGACCAGTGTAGTCGCCACAAACTGCTCAGGTAAGGATATTTACTTTTGCGCCCAAAATTAACTTTTTTTTTAAACATATCTTTATTTTGCGAAGGATTTGAATTCCAGTCTCTAGCATGACTGCTCGGCGTTCTAGCCACTCGAAAAACCTCTCCTCTACACCCATAAAGACTCGAGCATAATTGTATGCGAATGTTTCTGCCCTTGTCGACTTACACTGACGCAGTAATTAGTAAAGCTTGCCTTACACTGACAACGTTGATGCCTCACGCCGACCCAGTCAATACTGTGTACTCAGAAAAGTGCTAGAAAGTAAAGGCATTTAGGGTGGCATTAATCACATCTCTCGTTGACGGAATTTTGAGAAATAAATTAACACCTCACAGAATACTTCTGGGATGGTCATTGCATGAAACAAATGCAATCAAATATTTCGACCAAAATCTTCATTAACGTATGAAGTAAAGGAAATCATAAACCACAACCAAACAAACAAATTCACACACACACACACACACACACACCTAAAAAAAAAAAAAATCAAAAAGACAGAAAGAGATATTTTAAAGAAAAAAAAATCAAGGAACGAAAAAAAAAATAAAAGAAATTTCTTCTTCTTCTTCTCCTTTTACTTCTTGTATTAAGTGAAAACTTATCTGGAAGCAGCGGAGATCTGGTTTTTTAGACAAATGATGAGAATACTCTGGACAGATTCAATGAAGACGTCTTTTAGGAAACTGACTTATGAATAGAACTGATTGCCCACATCAGAAAGAAACAATCTACAACCTCTGGTCATATGATGAGAAGAAGAAAACTGGGATACATCGTGACATTAGCAAAGTTGGAGGGGAGGAGAAGCGGAGGAAGCCAAGAGAATAGATGCTGGACAGTTTGACATTATGGCATGGAGGATCATCTGTGTCAGGGTTGATTAAAAGTACACGAGACAGAAGGTTGTGGATAGACATGACTACCAACGTCACACGGCATACACTAAAAGACGATGAGAAAAATATAAAGAGATAATAAATTAAAAACATTAAAACTGATTACTGCCGCACCTAGAATACCTAAGTCATAAAATAAACGCGTTGTTTGATCACCGAAGCAAGCATGGTTTTATGGCAGTGACAGAAATGTCAGTTTCGCTTCAATTGTAAAAAACTGTTTCAACACTTCAAATGCAAATCTAGCATGATATACCCCAAGACGAAGTAACATATCCTTCGCTTGACTTGACTTACGTGAATGCTATGTCCTGTTCTGAAACGAAAGAGTGTCACCTGGTTTTGAATAGGTGCGTACAAAACATTTGTTTGAAAGCTGAATGTAGAGTGATGTCCGAACGATTATATGCAAAATGAACGTAGGGGGAAAAAAAGGTAACATACTGGTGGGTGTAACCTGTAAATGTTTATGTTTTGTTTCAGGATACAATTACAATACGCCGTATGACAGACCATTAAGCCTAATAAGCATATGTACATTTATCGCCCAGGGTGTAGCGGCTATACGCTCAACTGCGGATCGAAAGGTCGTGGGTTCGTGTCATGAAAGAACAGGGATTTCTTCAAAAATCACCTTGGCTCCCAGGTCGACACAGCCTTGAGTGGGTACCGGGTGCAGTCCTGGGAAGTAAAGGAGGCCGGCGTGATGCTGACCAGATCACCCATGATGTGCCTATTGGTCTAAAATATAGCTCTAGCCCTTTATGCATTATACGCCTAAAGGCGTGGAAAATGGGTCCTTTACCTTTACATTCTTCATATACAAATACACTCCGTGCTAGAGGATTCCCAGAAAATATAGTTCTTTGCAAAGCTGCCCACTGACATTTTAGGCCTGTTTATCTCTTAAACCAACTTGCAGTATTACACGTCCGTCATATCCCCGAATTCCTGGAAACCCACCCAACTGTTACGGACCCTACAAGTCTACCCACATCCTAGTCCCTCCCTTGAATGCTTGACTGTGTGTTGATAGAATACCAAGAGAGGCGTTTCTCCCTACACGGAACCAGGATGTGTCCCTATCGGCTGCAGCTATACCTGCCGAGTCACTCTGTTTGCTACGTACCTTTTAGGCTCACTCATGGCATATTTACTTTTTTTTTTAGATCCTGTTAGTGTTTATGTTAAACTCGTTGTGTAGTGTTTTAGTGTTAGGTTTTATTGTTTTAGTTTTTGCGATTTTCATGATTAATTTTTGTTAGTTTACTTCTTTAAAGTTCACGTCTTGACGTTGTTGACTTTTCCCCTCGGTGTTATAATTTTTTTTCTTTAACCAGTCGTTTTCTTCACCTTCTTTGTTGTGTGTGTGTGTGTGTGTGTGGTATGTGTGCATGTGTGTGTATATGTGTGTAAAGGTAGAGGTAAAGTCGGAAGATGTGAACCAGCGCCATTGCATACAGTTATAAACCACAAATGTTCTGCCACCAGTACGGAGAGCCAATAAGAAACTGTCAGCCGGTGTTGCAGTTCGCACGTAACTCAGTTGCTACAGCGACGTTCTCCCATTTACACTAGAGTAGTAACTCTGGTACCCATTTCCTAGAGGTTGATTAAATCTCGTGAACCGTCCAGTTTCGTGACTTACAGCGAGTTGCAGCTGGATTTGAAAGCGAGTCTCCCATCGACTGCGCTAACGAAGCCTATGTGTAAGTCATAAACTGATGCTCCAACATCACTGATAGAACCAAACCTGCTCTGTTCTTGCGGCAGTGGAACTCACACAAAATGTCCTCCATTTTTCTATTTATAAACTAGCGAAAAACTTGTCAGTAACAGCAAAGTCTTGTAGCTTGCACACGCATAGTAAAAATACTTGAGGCAGCTGTCAGATATGCCCTCAATAACGGTCCTGAGGCGGAACAGTAGGTTACTTCTTGCTTAGAGGGGAATCACAAAAGCCTGCATTATCCATTATGGGCCCCACCTGCTATTTGAGTGCAGTCAACAACAGGTTGCAGACACAATAGAAAACAACCCTCCATAGATTTGTTTTCGTGGCTGTCTCTCTCTTTATCTCTCGCCGCGTGCGCGTGTGTTTGTATGTGTGCTTTTGCGTGTGACTTTATAGTGTTTTCTCTTTATTATAATAGATTAGTGTAAACGCCGCTACTTTAGTTTCCTTTTTCTTTTCTGTTAGTCCGCAGTTTGGATACCTTTTTGTGACTTCTTTTGTAATCGCTTTCTTAGATTCCCAGATTTAAGAAAGTTCTCGGAAAATGTTTGATACTTGTCTTCAATCGTTCTGTCAATGACGCGTCGTTTATACCTTGAATTTCTGTAGATAGTATCCATCTTCGTTAACTCTTTTACTGTTTTTGGTATCTTTTCTGGTCATCCTAAAACACCCGCACCCACTTCCACTCCACCCCTCCCCCTTTACCCTTTCTGAGACTGCAGTATGAAAGACTTGTATCAAACGATTCTTTCCCGTGTAGGTTCTGGGGCTTCATTGTGGGAGAAAACAAGAATAGACCCACTGTGTGCCAAAAGCATGTCGTAAGAGTTAATTTGGAGCTTGCTTCGAAATGAGAATACATCTGCCTGAGAGGCAAGAAATCAACAGTATGGATGCAAAAAAGTCAGACCTGTAAAACGGTTGCGCATACAACAGTTTTTGGAACAGGACTAGAGTCCAGAAGTGGACAAACGACCAGAACTTTTTACGAGAGTTTACAGCCGGTGAGCGAAAAGTATCAAATGATTCAAATAGCCATTTTTCAAATGCAAATACTGCAGGAGCAAATCGTGGTGTAAACGTATTGATAAAAATTGGTTCACCCAGCGCATGCTGAATTCCGGTGTCTAGGGCGCTTTTATACTACAGTACGAAGCTAATAAAACCTCTTATTGTAGTCTGTCATCTATGTTTAAATATGCCTTTCAATCATTGAATCATGTTAGTTTGTTTTCTGTTATGTAATCATTTCGTTTGTCTTATTCATTTAAAAAAGCGTTATTTTGATAAAACCAGACAAGTTTCTCTTCTTTAACGTATTTATTTATCACCCACCCTCGCTATGGGATATGATTCCCATTCTGCCCGACAAGACAGTGGAACAATATCGTCTGCAGCAGAGCTTTCAGAACTGTGTGTCGTGACACATTAGGATGGCGTCAGCATTTGAAAGTGTGTCGCACGGGTAGGTAGGTAGTTGTTACTGTTAATAATGTTTCTTTTTTAAAACTTACAAATTATGCCAATGACATTATTCTTGGAAATGTTACGTAAAACAAGTATAGGTGACACGTTTCCATGAGATAGGTTGTATCATGAAACATTTTAATTATTACTATTTATGAATGTGTCCATATCTCTTATAATGGACTGGTTTAATATCTGGTTTTAATTATAGACTGGATTAGTGTGTCGCGAAATGGTATTTCTCTAAACAACGTGTTACGTAAATGAAAGGCTTGGAAAGCCATGGTCTAAGACAGAAGAAAAAGTGCCAATACCGTTAATAATAAACGTGGTACTCACCCATGATCCAGCCTGCCAGGAGGTTGATAGCCGTGTCAATCTGTTCCGGCGTGCAGTCCGGAAACACTGGCTTCACGATATATAGAGCGGCTGTGTAGGCCAAAAATGCCCAGAAAGGTCCTGCAATCAGCACTGTATAACCCCACATGATCAGAAAGCCCATTAAAGGTCCAAAGCTTTTCATAGTGTAGGAATAAGGACCTCCAGCTTTGGGAAACATTGTACCTAGCTCGGCAAAACATAGAGCCATACCTAAGTTGATGAGTCCACCAATTAGCCACACAATCAAGGAAGCCCCCACAGATCCCGTCTGACTTAGAATGGATGAAGGGGAGACAAATATGGAGGAATGTCCTGTTACCGCCACCATGATCGCTGTACAGTGGAGAAGATTGATTGACTTTTTCATTTCCACAGCCGATACCTGTCTTTGTGGAGTTGGTCCGCTGCCACTTGATGCAGATGTATCTGTTGGGAATATTCCGGAATTACTTGGGTCTGGGAGAGGTGAGCTAGATCCTTTGGAACTTGGAGTAAGGAAAAGATTCTGCATACTTGCTTTGTCCGAAATAACGGAAATGCCACCATTTTGGGCGTGGCCGTTGGAGAAGTGACTGCCATTGCTGTCAGTTCTGGTGTACCCTGGGTTATCTGTTCCATTGAGAGACGTCATGGAGACACCAACAATGCCCCCTGACTTCCGTCCAGAAGAGTTCCTTTTAAACATTTTTGAGGATGTTTTCTTTGCAATCTATAAAAACAGAAAAGATGGAAGCATGATAAGATTTCAAACTAACATGTATGTTAAAGTTAATACTAAAGTTGTGAGATTCGACTTCTTTGCACTGGATGTCATTCTACACAGCTAGGTCTTTCTTCGCAGAACGGCCAGCCAACCTAAGGACAGCATTGCATACAAGCGAACTCCGTGCATCCTGCGACTATCCCCATAAATCAAACAATCAGTGTATTCCTAGCCCACCTCATGCTCCTCATCTCCCACCCACGGGCCGCTACCTAAAGGTTCTCCCTGCCATCTTAGATTCTAACAATCTGTATCTGAAAGTCAGACCAATAAGATACACCGTTCAACCTCTAAAGAAGCTTTAATTAGGGCGCCGGTGATGTTTAAACCAGCCTGCTGTAGCGTGTAGTCCTATGTGGGTAAGGACGTTAGGCCGAAGATTGGGAACAAAGGCTTCAACTCGAGAGGTGTGATTTCATTTACCAAGGTTTTATTCCAGACGACTTGGTGGCTCTCAGCAAAGTCACGTACAAAATAGAAACTCCGAAAGGTTAGCTGCGTAAACTATTCAGGACGTTGCAGTAACAAGCCCTTTCATGTTTTGTTTAACTGTTTGTGGTTTCATTGGGCAATTTTACATTCAGTAGTTTCTCATTGCCCTCAACTGTCGGCTCTCGCTACTACTGTCACAACCAATACAAGGCAGTCGTCTGCCAAATCTGGGGTGGAACCGAATATCTTAGGATTACCAAGCGCTTTCCTAACGCTAGAGACGCCGATAGAATCTTCAAGTCTACAGCAGCAATACCCATAACATTAAATATTGCATTAGAGAGACAAACCCACAATTTTAACAGAGGGGAGCCAACAGCGCGACCACTCAGCCACGGAGGCAGGACATCACATGTCAACTGGCGATTCGTTTCTAAATAAACAATTATGGTTGTCACCACAGCCCCGATGGGCGAACGGCAGGCAGGTAGGTAGCACTGGCAAACAAATTTTTACCCCCAACCAGCATCCCTGAAGGGGAGCTTTAGGTTATAATTGTGACTAAAATGGCTTAGCAATTACACGCCAAGAGCATTGAAATAAACTTCTGCAGTGTTGATGCGATCAAAGAAGACAGACCCAAATACTATCCCCACCGGTGACGAAGTCGTCTACCGTCGAGCCAATGGTCTGGTCGCCGAGGTGCCATCTGCATAAAAGCGTCCTCTGCATTTATTTCTGAGGTAACATCGACTATCTTTGGTTTAAAGAAACCAAATTGCCAGCTAAATCATCATTATAAAAAGAACATAAATAAATAGTCGTAACGGGCGATTAATCAAACGTTTGCTGGCATTTGTTGTTTTGGGCTAAAACGCGCAAACATTACACCCTAGCTGTAAACCACAACTCAACGTAGCAACAACCCTTTTACGGGTGAATGAAAAAAAAAAAAAGCAAAGGAAAATAAAGAAAAACAACAGTGAAATGTTCGAAGTGCCCAATATATTCAACACAACAAAGAGAAAAAAGAAACAAATATATTTTTGAAATGGCCAAAATATGAAACATTATAAAAGTATTAGAAAACTAGTTGATGTGGATAAAATGTAACAATATTTAAAAAAAAAAAAGGTTAAAACGGCTCAATTAAAAGCAAAATTAAACCAGTCCACTATAAAACGTATTTGCACGTACACAACTATGCTACTTAAATGAACGGACACAAAATATGTAAAGTTTGTTTTCCAATTAAACAGGTGAACACTGGACCTCGCCCTTCGACGAAGCTCAAAGATGATGCACTGAAATATTTTGTGTAGTAAAGGCAACCAGTTCGATGCTCACCAGTTCACGCCACTTGTCAAGGAACAATTGGTCTTATAAAACACGGGTCTAACAAGGGCTTTTGTGTTTAGATACTGGTATTGATTATAACGTGTCTAATAAATGCTGGTGGTACTCACCACAAAGGATCTATTGAGGAAAGCACAAAAGTAAAGTTTTCACATCTATAGATCATGTAGAGCTAGACCTACACATTAAAGCATAACGGAACTTTTGAAGAAAGTGCGGTTTCGTGAGGACCTGAACCAATGACCTTCCGATCCGCAGGCAAGCGTCTAGCCGCTACATCACGGCGACACCCATCCTTCAAGTAGCACTGGGGACAAATGCCGTTAAAAGAGATGTAGTACTGAGTACCACTAGGAGAAAGCCCTAGGTATATCGCCATATACAAGAAGCGCCAATATCACGAGAAGTGCTTTTTACTAGTTACTGTACTTACTTCAGTCAACCATACACACGACCCGCTTCTGTCATCGCCAAACAATATTTGATAATGACCATAACAAGGATACACATGCCCCATTTATTCACCGGCTGGTCCTGTTGAATCTTGCATGTCATGGTCTATTTTTAAACCCTATCCGGCCTGGACACAAACATTACATTTCAGTATATCCCAAACTGCGTGGCCTACTTTATGTTTTCTGAAAGCGGAAGTGTTTACAAGCCGATTCTACCTGAACCAGGATGTTTGGTTCCCTCGATAGAATTCTGGTTAAAGGAACAAGCAGTCGAGGTGTAAGCCACACATAAGGAATAAATAGAAAAACTATTATTTATGCCGTAAAATATTCTGCTGCGTTGCAGTGATTCTCATATATGTGAAAAACAATATTAGAAAGTGCTCGAGTGTAGGATAAAAGCTGTCTTAACGGCATTATGGGCCTCTGTGCAAATCAGTGTGCCAGGGCCTCTACGATAACCACTTACAGGAATGATATATGGCAGTCTGAGGCTTGCTACATAGATCCAGTTTTAACACATGGCTGTGAATCCTGGACAATCGATAGGCAGGTTAAACAATTTCATGAGGCCTCAGAGATGTGGTTTTACAGAAGAATGCTTAGAATACCTTGGAAAGTCAAAAAGAGCAACCAAGAGGGTTTGAAAGAGGCGGGAGCCCAAAGACAACTCATCACAGAAATCAGAAGAAGACAGTCATCATTTTTCGGCCATGTTATGAGAAGAGGGAAAATAGAACATGTTGTGACCACTGGAAAGATCTGTGGAAGGAGGGATAGAGGAAGACAACGAGAGAAGATTCTTGACAGTCTTGTTGCATGGCATGGAGGTGTGTCTGCACACGAACTGATACATGCTGCAGCAGATTGTGGATTATGGAGAGGCATGATCGCCCACGCCAGTCAGCAAGGCACCTTATGATGATGATGCTATGGCAGTCAGTGAAATCAACAAACACCAAGGCAGGGCTCAAGAGCTGCAGGAACCTGAAGATAAAGTGGCCGACTGGTATGCAGAGAAAGCTGCTGTCATCAGCCCAGGTAAGTGAACCATCTGAGATCGAGTGAATATTAAAACAATCACGCAGACTGTGAGAACAACATTTTCAACTAGATTTATCAAGAAACAGCAGATCAAGTGGTTTGCTCATCCAGCTGGACTGCGGAAACATCAAATATAATCACAGTCACTTCATTGCAGAAGATCAGCTACAATTGCAAGAGAATGGCTATGAAAATAATGGATAGACAACATTAAAAATATTTTCAGAATTCACGGCGTGAACGTAGCCAGTGCCAACCAATGTCCGCTGGATCACAATTTATTCCTCCGCACCGTGCTTAACGGCAGAAATTAGGACGATAATGATAGGAGGGACTGAGATTAGTACCGGCATCACAGCACTCGAGGCATTCCTTCTCCATCTTTAGCATCCAGTGCAAAGTTAACAATTCCCAGGGTATTGTATGTATGCCAGTCTGGATATACCTCTGGGTGTTGAGTGTCGACCAGATCCTCCTAATAACTCCCGGCTACACCATGCTCTTCGGACTTCGATTATCTATTTGTGCTTCCACTTTGTTTTCTTGCTCGCAAGGGGCCCTGCTAATACTTACGTTGTCATGAATTCATTAAACACCAGGTTGTTGAGATCTAGCAAATCTAACATTCTAAGCATTCCTTATGTCTGGTAAGGTCAGCGCTTGTGTGCCTTCTGCTCATTTCCTAACTAGCTGTCGTGGTATCATATGTAAAACGTTGTTGCACTAAGGGTAGTCCATTTACTTTTCCTTTCTCTTAATGGTTTCTAGAGCCCAAATTTGGATGTTTAAAATAAAGGAGAGTGGTTAGACCTACTGTCTTCCTAAAAAGCATGTCGTACAAGGGAACTAATTAGGGATGATTCCTTTGAAGTCAGAGTGTTAAGAACAAATGTGCATGCAAAACTCAAGCCCCTTTAAAGTACCAAAGTCCAGAAGTGGACAAACAGCCAGAATCTAGCTGCATCTCACCAGAGAGCGATTTTTATAAATAATGGCGTCATGTTGGAGGGACTTGTCAGGAGTCAGTTGTTGAATGTTTGATTTCCCCGACCACTTCCTGCATTCCTTGCCCAATTTGATTAGAACCCAACACCCGAGTGGTCTCGATACATGACGTCCGCCTCGAGTGCTGGAGGTCTCAGGTTCAGACCCCGGTGAAGGCTGTGATTTTTTCACGCGGATTTCTAGTAATTTCTCCTGGTCTCTGGGTAGTAAGATCAGACGTCCGTGTGTATTATTGTGCACGTGAAATTTCCCTTGGCAGTTGGAAATCAAAGAGAGTAGCCTAACGGCGATACCCGGGCAATATTTGGAGTTAAAATGTTACCCAAATAGTTCAGAATCCTCGCGGGTGCTGCGGAGTTCGTGCACTGCGCTGAGATTCATCAGACTCAGACTTGAGTTAGAAGTAGAACAAGTAGAACGGAGCACTTATGGATTACTATCCTTGTGTCCCGATGTTGATCCCGTGTTGAAACCATCAACTATGAGGATTCCTTTTATAAATAGTCTATAATATAAAACATGTATTTTATTATTTTTTTCTGGGTGCACTTTAACAGTAGCCAGCATAAACACTTACTAGATAGTAACGTCTTTTATGGTAAGTCACTTTCCATTCAAAGATCTGTTTGC